AATTGTGGATCCGCAGGAACTAACTTTCCAAATTTAACAGAAACATCTTTCAATTCATCAAACACCATATCACCAGTCAATTGTGGCAGTGCTTCTTCATGTTCCACAGATCCGTCGAAAAGACTAGCTTTCTTTCGAAACGAATGTCCCTGGTCCAAAAATCTTCGATGACCCATATAGCAATTTTTGTGTCCATTCTTTAACAAAAAAGAATGTGTATGTTTGTGACAAATAGGACATGCAAGTTTACCTTTAGTACTCCATCCTGATTAGTTTGCATATCCAGGAAAATCACTTATGGTCCCTATCACTGATGCCCGTAGCTGAAAATTTTCCTTCTTAAATACGTCATATGTTTCAATCCTACTTCCCACAAATCCTTCAAATCAATAATAAGAGGTTGTAAAAAAATATCAATATTGTTACCAGGACATAATGGACCAGGAATCAACAATGACAGCATAAAATATGGTTGTTTCATGCACATCCAGGGTGAGAACTTATAGGGAATTAGTACCACTGGCCATATGCTGTGAGAAGAGCTCATAAGTTTAAACGGATTGAATCCATCAGAAGATAACCCCAATCTAACATTTCGAGGTTCTTTAGCAAATTCAGGATGTAAACTGTCAAATGTCTTCCAAGTTGGGGAATCTGCAGGATGTCTCATATAGCGATCCTTCGTACGACCTTCGGAGTACCATCGCATATGATAAGCTATTTTAGAAGACATAAACAATCTCTGCAATCTTAGTTTGATAGGAAAATACCACTATACTTTACGTGGAATCTTTTTCTTCACACCATCTGGATCCTTGTCAGAAATTTTCCACCTGGATTCATTGCATGTCTCACATGATATTTTTCCCGCATTTAGCACCCAATACAAAGTGCAATCATTTGGATAAGCATCAATCTTCTCCTGGCCAAGTCCTAAATCTTTCATTAATTTTTCTGCTTCATAGTACGATTTAGGCAAACCATCCATGGCATCTGGAAATGCTTCCCTAAACAAATCCAACAACATACCAAAAACTTTATTAGTCATTTTCCCATGACATTTCAGGTGCAGCAGTCTGATAATAAACAAAAGTTTCGTAAATTTTTCGCACCCTTCATATAAGTTTTTCTGAGATTCATCAATCAACTTGTAAAATTTTCTAGTCTGTCCACTAGCAACGTCTGCATCACTTGGAATACTAGTTGCGTCTTGGATGTTGAAATCTTTTGGCTTCATTAACTAAATTTTGCATATCATCCACAAATTCTGAAGCATCAGGATAATCTGTTTGAGGTTGAGTCCTAGACGAACTACTGGCAGCAAGCTCTCCATGAGCTATCCAATGTGTATATCCGGGGATAAATCCATCAACCATCAAGTGGTCAAATGCCTCACTTCTACTGACGAAGACACTAATCTGACAACGTTTGCATGGACATAATATCATTCCCCTTACACTTGACTTTGAGAATGAGAAGTTCAAGAAAAACTCAAGTCCACTTTGGTATTCTTCACTTACTCTTTTCTTGCTCATCCAACTCCTATCCATGTTGTCAAACAATGATGTTTCCAAATGCTATACAAACAAGGAAAGCAGGTTGTGTTTACCATACAGTGAGTTCATAAATAAAAATGTGAAAACTTTCATTTACTTTGACTTATGGTAACAATTTACTTTCAATTAACAAGCTCCCTTTGCCAATCTACTTTTAATATTCCATCCGGAAAACATGCCCAAATACTACGCATATGCACCCTACATTAAGATTTAAAAATTCATGTTGCTGTTTATTTCTAGTTCCGCAATAAAGCTTCATAATTAAAGATTCAGAGATGGTAAACTTACAATTTGAGGGTGAGAAGACTACCCGATTATAAACTCCCTGCTTGATTGCCGAGTTTCGAACTTCTCCTTTCTCCTCAAGCCTCAATCGCCCTTTGCTGGTCCTTTCTTTAAATTTAATCCTCGCTAGCCTTTACTTCCACAAAGTAAACAATTATAAAACGAACCGTTCAATTTTGAATTGAACCAAAAACAAAAGAAAATAGGTAATTGAGATTCGGTGGCTGCCGATTGATAAGCAAAGTTTGGTGACCTCGACGTCGACAACGAGGAAGAGATTGTTGGCTACGAAGAGGAGGCGAGGAGGAAGTTGATTTTTTTCGGTGGTGGCTGCTGTGTTTTGGTCGAGGGAGTACTAAAGAAAAGGGGAGGTTGCTGGGTTTGTGATTGTTGTTTTTTGGGAGGAAATGAAGGGAGCAGAGAGGTTTTTCGAGAATGAGGAATAAAGAAATTTTTAGTAAATGGAATTGGGACAAGTTTTTCGAAAATCAAATTCACTTATTGACATTATTTTTACTTCAAATAGCTAGCCAAAATGGATTTGGAACAAGTTTGTGCCAGAAAGACTTTGTTCTATATAATTTTAAATATGTAATTTGGATCAATAAAAGATTTAAATTTTCATTTGTGGCACCCTTTTTATTATAAATTCACGTCATTACATTTTTATAATGATTTTATTGTGATTGTATTTGGATTTTTTTTTTCAATTACGCCCCTATGCAAAGTATTTGTATTTTTCATTAAATCCCAAAAGTTGCATTGAGTACATATCTCGAGTTCAACTCTTTTAATTTATCATCAGATTGGTTTTTGCTATTCTAATATGTATGGGGGCTTGCTGAACTAATCCACATAATTTGTATATTATTATATTCCCTTCTTTCTAAAAAATTAGTCGACATTGAGTTTTTAAATTTATACTAAAACTAGAACGGATTTGGAAAGTCAATCTGAACTATTTTTTTATGACAGGGAGTAGTTTTTAGCGAATACTATAAGAGCATGCAAAAAAAAAAAAAAGAGTATTATTACTCTCTCTTCATTACATACAATCTTTCTCCCATGCATGTTGATTTCTTAGTATAAACTAGAACATTTTAGCTTTATTTCTTTTAACTTGAAACAATTTGCTTTATTTGCTTTAATAAGTATACTTGTTACACCAAAAAAACTTAGAAGCACACAATTGAGTATACTAAATGAAGTATACCATATAAATACTACATTTTAAGGATGAGAAAATAATAATTACATCGTGTATATTCCATTGGTTAGACCAAGATAGTACATTATGGTTGTTTTTTGATTTTAATCGAATATAAGATGCAATATTTTTGTAAGATCTTTATAAAATAATCGAAAGGGACATAAAATTCTTTTGATAGCTTCGAGATTAAAATAGTTAAGCCACAATCCATTACTATTGTAGGAATGGACACAAATCTCATTGAAACATTCATTGTTTAAAAAAAAAAAAAAATTGTTAACAAAGTTAGGGAAAAAATAAAATTTCTCATGAACCATGTATTTTTTATATATCAAACAAATCATCCCGTAAATAGAATTCTTACATTAATTTGATATTGTAAATTAAAATAGTGTTGTGATATCAATCAAAGAGCTTAGCAAAGTCTCTCTGATATAGCTTCTTAGTTTTTTTAATCATTTTATCCTAATAAACAATTAAATGGCATACAACTATAAACAATACTTATATTATAAACTCACTGAAAAAATTCCTGACCTTTTCTCTTTCGTCTTCGTTTTCCTTGGGTGGGCAGCACAAGGTTGACAACAAATTTATTCCATATGAAAAGCGCCAAAAAGATTAAAAATGAAAATTCTTCCGCGCCTTCTTCTTCTTCGGATAAACAACTCCCATCATCGCCTAAAATTTCTCCACACAAATCAGCACATATCCTTCATCCTTATCATGGTCGATCTCATATATATACATGTCCATTGGGAATACTTACTCTTCAGTGAGAATTGGGTGATAAAGATCCTTAATTCAGAGCAACAATTGACCAGGTATTTTCACCTCTTTCTTTTCGAATTTATATGGCTTGATTTTGTTTTTCTCCTTTGAATGCATCATGCATGTGATTGATTGTAACGATTTCAGAGATTTTCATCATCGGTTGACCACTAATAATACTGCTATATGTTTGTTTGATAATTAGCACTGATTTACTAATTATAATGATTTGAAAGATTTTCCACTTAAAGTGTTTGATAATTTGCACCAATGAAACTTAAATTAGTCGTACCTTTTAGTTTGTTTGGTTTTTTACGAGTATAGAGGGGTGTACTTACTTGAGATCTGGATGGCAATGAGGGGATTTAGTAGAACCAAATTTTCTTGCTTCTTCCGAGCCTATGTGGGCAGCACAAGGTTGACAACAAATTTATTCCATATGAAAAGCGCCAAAAAGATTAAAAATGAAAATTCTTCCGCGCCTTCTTCTTCTTCGGATAAACAACTCCCATCATCGCCTAAAATTTCTCCACACAAATCAGCACATATCCTTCATCCTTATCATGGTCGATCTCATATATATACATGTCCATTGGGAATACTTACTCTTCAGTGAGATCCTTAATTCAGAGCAACAATTGACCAGGTATTTTCACCTCTTTCTTTTCGAATTTATATGGCTTGATTTTGTTTTTCTCCTTTGAATGCATCATGCATGTGATTGATTGTAACGATTTCAGAGATTTTCATCATCGGTTGACCACTAATAATATTGCTATATTTTTGTTTGATAATTAGCACTGATTTACTAATTATAATGATTTGAAAGATTTTCCACTTAAAGTGTTTGATAATTTGCACCAATGAAACTTAAATTAGTCGTACCTTTTAGTTTGTTTGGTTTTTTACGAGTATAGAGGGGTGTACTTACTTGAGATCTGGATGGCAATGAGGGGATTTAGTAGAACCAAATTTTCTTGCTTCTTCCGAGCCTATGTGCGTTGTTTGGTTCTTTTAAACTATTGTCATCCAAACTGATCGCTTACTAGTTTTCCATACTCTTAGTTTTTGCAGGAATGTCTAGTAAAGGCCGAAAACGCAAGCAAAATAATGTTGTTCTGCGAGATGAGCCAATATAAAAATCTGAATACGAGCCGATCTCACAAGCACCCCGAATGACTGGGACAGAAATCAACCCTTATAGTGCTAATGCTCGGTATCAAACATCATATCAAGGTGATACCTTTAGTAGTTTCGTTCTTATCCTAGTTATTTTATTTATCTATCTATTGCAATTTTTTTATTTAACATATGAATACCTGATCTAGTTTTTTTTTTTTCAACTAGTATATGCATAGTTTGGTTCTTCTAAAGTCTTGTTACCCTAACTGATTACTTACTAGCTTTTTATATTTTGTAGGTATGTCAAATAAAGGTCAAAGAATCAAGCAAAATAATGTTGTTCCTCGAGATGATCCAATCTCAGAATCTGAACATGAGTCGAACTCACAAGCAGCTCGAATGGCTCGAACAAAAATCAACCCTGATGGTGCTAATGCTCAGTATCAAATACCAAATCAAGGTGATGCCTTTAGGGGTTTCTTTCTTATTCTGTTTATTTTATTTAGCTATTTATTGCTATTTTTTTTATTTAGAATCTTAATACAAGATCTAGTTTTTAGCTAGTTTGAAGTGTATGTGCATAGCTTGGTTGTTTTAAAATAATTTTTAGCCAAACTGATTGCTTACAAGCTTTAGGTATGTCCGGTAAAGGCCAAAAATGCAAGCAAAATAATGTTGTTCTTCGAGATGAGCCAATCTTAGAATCTGAACCTGAGTCAAACTCACAAGCGCCTCGAATGACTCGAACAGGAATCAATCCTTATGGTCCTAATGCTCAGTATGAAATACCAAAACGAGGTGATGCCATTAAGTTTTCATTTTTGTTACAGTTATTTTATTTAGATATTTTTTGTATTTTTTTCTGATTCTTTTGGGCATGTACTGCAGGTGCGACTCAAAAGAATTCTTTTGGAAGCCAAACCAATATTAGATCTCAGAAGGAGTTTATAATTGATCATATGAATCGTATTGATGAACAAGGGCAGCAACAAGGTAATGGAAAATAAATAGTTAGCATAGAATTTGAAAACTTGAAGTTTGCAATATTATGAACTTATAAATTGATTAGTGATTGTTATTTCGGATTTCTAGTTCTAATGATAACTTTGAATTGTTTCTTCTTCTTTTTTTTCATTTTAATGCAATAAAGCTCTATTTTCCTTTTTTTAGGGAGTAGAACTAGGACTCAAGTGGGTACTAGAGTTTATAGTGGACATATGGGCTCACGTCAAACTTCAAATGGGGTATCTCAACATGACCATAACACTGGTATATCCAAAATGCACTATGTTCACTTTTTGTTGCGTTTGGAAATTTCTATAGTTTGTTTCCCTAATTTATGTTTAGAATTTTGGGGATATTATAGTTGTAGGTTGCGCTAATATGATTTCTTATGAACATATATCACAGGTTTGTCTCAGAATGATCCTATGGTTAACCAGTCCACGCATAGACATAGGGAAGAATCCGAAATCCATTACGATCATGTGACTGGTACTCATGAAAAAGAACATGAGCAAGGTAATATAATATCAATTGATGATGTAGTTTTTCTAGAATTACAAATGTTAACATAATTATAATTTATTAAGGTGTCGAAAGTGATTCTGAAACTGAAACCCGCGGTCCAACATGTATGAAAAGTATCTAGGGTCGTCCTCCCCACTTACCCAAAATTCATGTCGAGTATAATGACAAGGGTGATCCTGTTGATGGAGAGTGCAGTATGCTTAGTCGTTTTTTGGGTTCAATTGCTCGTAACTGCCAATATTGTCCAATTGGTGTTAATGATCGGCGTAAGATAGAGAACAAGGATGAGATTCTGAACATTGTAAAGGTAATTATTTAACTTGGTTACTTTATTGTGTTTTCTCAATTGATCTTGATGTCTTTAATCTATTTTTGATGAGTTAGAGTATAATGATTACATATATGTTGTAGTTACGTTTTCATGTTCCTCGCATTGCCGAAAAAAGATTTTGAGTTTTGTTGGTAAAAAATGGAGAAATTGGAAGAATCGATTGAAAGCCAAATATTGGTATGAAGCTTCAGTGGAAGTTTTGGTGGACCAAAGAGATGCTAGAGTCACTGCTATTGAATGGATGAAGATATGTACTCACTGGAATAGCGAGGCTGCAAAGGTATGTAATATTTTTGAAGTTGATTCTCATTTACCTTCATGCGTTGATTAAATTACTTTGAACTCAATTTCAGAAAATGAGTCAAAGAAGGAAGAATGCTAGAGCCAAGAGGGTGAATGATCAAAAAACCGGGCAAACTTCCTTTGCTCGAGTTGAGCATAAAATGGTACTTCCTTTCATTTGTTCATTTTCTGATTTTCCCATTATTATATAATGTATTTCAATCAATATCTATTCCTAGACAAAGGAAAATGGACGGCCCCCAAGCCGTGTTGAGTTGGTTCATGCATGCTTCTTGGACTCTAATGGAGACTCCAATCCAACAATTTTAAGCGCAAATGTAAGTCAATACCAATCATCTTTAACAAATTAAACATGGGTAATAGATAGTGATTGATATATAATTGTTTTTTTAGGCCAATATGCAAGAACGTAATAGTCATGTTCAAGAAAATTTTGATGATTCAAGTGATCAAGATGATGATCTAATTGATCAAGATGATATATCTGCTCAATCATTAAGGCAATGTCAGTCTAATATCATGCAAATGGCTACCAAAGAAATTAGCCAATCAAATGCTCGAGGGATAGTTCAGAACACATCTAAGCGCCTAAGGATCGAGGAACAAGGTAATGAGAGTCAGTGATCACTACAACTTCATGATATACCAAACCAGAATATTCCAACTCCTGTTATTACGGTGGGAATCCTTAGAATTTTTTAAAAAAACTTTTTAATTGATCAATCTCATATGTCATATTCATTGCCACGCTCTTGTTTATAAATATAACACATATTATTTGGCATTCTTATTAGGTTGGGTCTTATGTTTCCCTAAAGAGTGTAAATGATCCTACCAAAATTGTTGCTAAGGGATGCATTGAAAGTATGGACCCTAGTATAGAGGTTGGTGGACACGTTCTAGGTCCAAACTGGTGTGAGGTATTCGTGACTGTGAAAATTATTCCCGAAGAATATTTGTTTAGAGGTTACGGCAAATTTCGAAAGATTGGAGATGTAATGGGAGAAATGATTGCTTGGCCATCCTCGTTCGTACGTTTCTTATTCTTCCAAATTTATTATTTTTTCACAATGTTTTATGCTTTGTTTTGCTTCTTAGATCTTTTACGAAAAATTGTGTAGGTAACTGGTGGGTTGTCAAAGCTCCCAAAATAATTTACCAACTTAAACTATAGATAGGATAAGTCAGGTCGATCCCACAGGGACGGGTTAAACTTCAAATAACCGGAACACAAAATTGGACAAACAAAAAAGAAAGTTGAAGAGTGTCACTCACTTGCACGAGTGGGTAAAGTCACTCAGGCAAGTGACTCTGCAGAACTGAAGACAAAGAAAGACAAATGGAACCTCACTCACGGGAGTGAGAATTCCGACTCAAGGGACTGACTCTGCAAACTAGATATTCATTCTCTTTTCCCTAAGTAATCAAGCTGTAATGTTGCACTCTTTTGGTATGAATTCATGCTCATTCAGGCACTTATATATCACTAAGTCACTTCCAATTTTTCCTAGAGGTATCTTTATGAACTCAATTAAACTATTTTTCCAATGATTAATCAAGTCATAAAGTCATTAAGTTTTCAAGCCTTATATGAATGCTTATGCTAACCAAGTATATTCCTATCTCAATTAGAACCTTGGACTGTTACCTCCAAGTCATAAGTTGAAGCTAAATGATTCTGAACCTTGTTTACCCTTCCGGGATTCACTTAGTTCTGTGCACAATCAATCAAATGGCCAATTTAATCAAGAGGTAGATGAAAGATTTAACTTCAAAATACAAATCATCCGAATGCATTCACAAACTTAAACTACATAGGTTCCAGAGAATGAAATCTAATTAACTACACATACAAACTACAGAAAATACAAGAAAAGAAGGAAAGCATTGAGAAGAAGCAAATCTGGATGGCTAAGCAACAGGTCACTCGCCCGAGTGACAAAAGTCACTCAGGCGAGTGAGGTCTGTTACTCATCTCTTTCTGCTACTAGACTTCTTCTTCCTTTGGAGTTTTCTCCCCTCTCTGCTCTCTTCTTCTCTCTCTATTGTGTTTTGTGTGTTGTATGTCCGCTCAGATCCCTCTTCATGCTGGGAATGCAGCTCCTTTTATAGAGTTTTGAAGCCGGTTCTTCTTCCAAGATAGCCTCCCCATGCTTGTGAATTATTTATTAGCCCCAAATGCCTTGTGTTTTGAATCCGGTTTTGACTGGTCTTTTCCTCTTCTTCCAGCAGTGGTATCAGCAACAGCATTGATCAATGTGGGTGGTTGGTTCTTCATTCAAGGGGATAAGCATGCTCTTTAGTTTCTATTGTGGGACACCCTTATTAACTCCCAATGTGTCTTGTGTCTTGGGTTGCTTTTTGACCAACTCAGCCCTCATTTTAAATTGGAATCAGCAGTCCAATTATTGCTCCATAAGCCCCCATTGTCAGCATTTGTTCACTCCGGTCCTCACCTATTTAGAAACACGAAACTAGCTAAGTAAAATGAACAAAGTCTAAGAAACACCCCTAATTTTTAACTAATTAAAGAGCAAAATTGCAATGCTTTTATGTAACAATTTGACCGTTATCAACTCCCCCAAACTGGAAGAATTGCTTGTCCTCAAGCAAAACAATCTAACCCCTTAAGAACTACACATAGAAACAAGAAAACAATAGCTAACCACTGACTCCCCTGAGTGAAAAAAGTCACTCAGGCAAGTGAAACTGCAACAAACACACAAGAACTTCACAGCAACTATCAAACATAACTAGTTCATATGACAATCGGATACAACATCTCAGACGCAAGAAAAAAGAGTATATCTTCATCCAAATTCGAATTTCACCTAGTCTTTATGAAATCACCTCCGTGTGTGTGTGAATCATGCCAAGTATGCAAAGTAACAAATTAGTATAAGGTAAATAACAGCTCATGGTGCATATTTAGAGATTTCTTAGCCTTATGACTCATTTTTTTCTTACCACAATCATGCTAATGTGGCCAATACAGCCTCAGAGATATAAGGACTCTCACAATTCATTAATTTTCAACTATTCTCCATCATTCCCTTTTATTTACCTCCGAGTCTTTTGGCTTTTTCTATTTATGACTCATGATTCTTTTTCTTTCCAACTTCCGACCCCTCCTACCGAGAGCTTTCGATAGGAGACTTTTCTTGCCAGGCCAAAGGATCACTCATTGTTGCCATTTCACTCTAAGAGATTTAGCATTGATGCTCTACCTTATGCTCCCTCAAGTTCTTTTGAACTCTTTTATTTACTCATTTTTGAGCATTCCGCCTACCAATTCCCAAAGAAGGTATTAGAGAGGGTCATTAAGTTTGCCTTAGTCAACTCTTTAGCATGTAAACAAACCACATTTCGCATTCAAGTGGTAGTAGGAAAAGTCATTTAAATATTTTAACCAATTTAGAACACCATAGAGCATGTTATAAAACTCAACTTCAATGTAACTAAGCATAAAAGGAATGTGTGCTTAAGTAGTGTAGAGATGATAACCAAGAGTTAGGTAAAATCAAAATTTGAATTAGATATAAGAAATTAAGTACATTAGTCTTCATAGATATCCAATTATCATAGAACTAGCATTCACAAAAAATCAAAAAAAAATAAAATAAAATAAAATTATAAACATGCTCCCTACTACTCCCCCAAACTTATTCAAAGCATTGTCTCCAATACTGACAAACAGATCACGCAAAAACAAAAATAACAACAAAAACAGTTCACAGAAATAAAAACAATTCACAACAAAAACTGTATGGTCACTCGCAGGAGTGATATTCTCATTCCTGTGAGTGAGGTAGAGGACTGACGATTTCCCTGAGTTTGAGCAATTGAAATGGATGAGGAGGGCTTCATGATGCACATCATTCAACATATCTGTTCGATTTGTTGCAAGCTCTATGTTGTGTCGAACTATACTCCATACAAGGGATCGCGACATCCTTGTACAACAGCCTAGAATTGCAACATCAGAACACAAAAAAGATTCAACAGCTATAAGGGTTAAGAATTTTTATTTTTCTACAGTGTCACTCGTTGGAATGACTTTGGTCACTCGTGGGTGTGGCTCTACAGTCCTTCTTTAGCTGCAAATCTAGTTTTCTCAAATAACAAGGATTAGAATTGAAACACAGATTAAAGATATCAAAAATTAAGCTCATCAAGTTCCTTGGTTCATACAGTTAAGTACAGAGACCATAGAAAGCAACAAACCAGAAACACCATAGTTCCATAAATAGATTTAGCTTTTTAACAATAATGCTCAGAAAGAACTAGGTGACTCATATGCAATCGAACATGCTAAATTCTGAAAATTCTCCCTAAACTTGCTAGATATGGCATCAATGCTCATAAAGATATTAGAAGTTTACCCCAGACTAAAGCCTAGCAAGTACACATTAAGCACACCAAATTTCAGAATTAACAAGCTACTAAGGGATATGACATACAAAAGATGTCTCAAGAACCTAAAAAACAAACAAAACAGAAAGGTGAAACAAAATATATGGGTGGGTAAAAGAAATAAAGACATCAAGTAGGTTCAGAGTCACTTTGCCGAGTGACATGAGTCACTTTCCTGAGTGTCTTAGAACTTTCAGCAATAAACACACAAAATTTCAAAGTCAATAGCTTCAGTTTTTCAAAATTCTCATATTTTGTTTTAAAAATAAACTAACAACAATTATACATGAACAGAGCATGCATCAATTCCCCCAAACTTAAAACAAAGCACAGATCCTATGCAGCCTAAAAGAAATCGAAGGCAAATCAGTCACAGCAACTCAGTTTGTTGCAGGCACACTCGGGAGGGTGACTAATCTCACTCTCCAGAGTGATGAATATCAGAATCTGCTGCATTTTTGGATTACCAATTGAATTGGGATGGCATTGATACTTCTTCTGCACATGGAAGCACACACATTAAACAAGAAAAAATTAAAATCACACAAAAACAAACTAAAAGGAAAAGAACATGGGTTGCCTCCCATGAAGCAAGCAAAATGTTGAAATGCAAGATGCATTCCATAATCAACTCTTGTGGCTTCAAGTCACTCAGAATAGCCATCTTGATACCACAAGAATGTGCCATCAATTAGTCTATCATGCCTCCAGGAAGCATACTTTTGAATCATCCAACATAGAGGAAAATCTTTCTTGCTCCACTCTTCCAACATCTCGGGGTCCTTCTTGGTTTGACATTGATCGAAATCAATATACTTTATTTGCACACCCCAAGTGAATTCACCCTTACCTCTGCCCACATGACTCTCATCAAGGGAGATAATTGACTCTTCTTCATTCGTAAACAAAGTTATATCCTCCGAGTCAATTATCTCTCTTTCTGGAGAAAGAGTCTCATGAAATCTTGAACACGGCTCACCTTCAGCAAACAGTCCCTCTAAACACAACTCCTCATCAAGTGGGTTACTAAAATCTTGTTGCACAACTTTCTGCTTGGCAGAGTTTTTAACGCCACTTGAGGAAGTGTGTTTTGTCACTCCCCTGAGTGGGAATGGCAGAGGTGGAACATAAGGAGGTGGGAATATGTGGGAATATGCTGGTGGTTGCATCTCCACCTTTGGTTCTTCCTTTACCTCCTTCACCTCCACTGGTAGGACTAAATTCTGATGAGAAAAT